ACTGATGCGCGCGGCCGCAAGATCGAGGTCATCAAGGTGCCCTGCCCGCCACCCATGTTCCGCACACACCACGAGGCCGACACCATCGACGTGAGACGGGTTTTGCATTGGGGGAGGGGCTTGGTGAGGGTGACAGCTCTCGGGGGCCTGTTCTAAGGGGAGAGCGTTGTTTCGTGTGGTTGGAAGTGTCCGTGGCTGAGCCTGGAGTATCCTGCTGGCTATCTACAACATGAATCCTGCTGCGCGCCATGCATTGCCATACCCCCGCCTCCCATGCCATGGCACCACCCTCACCGCCTCCGACCTGCTTGCCCTCCCCCCCCAAACAAACCCAACGCGCAGCCCGAGCACATCACCAAGGGCTACGTGCCCCGCCTGGCCAACGCGCGCCTGCCCGGCAGCTACATCAACCACTACTGCGCCAACGGCGGCGCCGTGGTGCCCCAGTTTGGCTACCCCACTGACCAGCAGGCCATCGACGTGCTGCAGGCGGCGTACGGCCCCGGGTACAAGGTGGTGGGCGTCCCTGGCGGCACGCGCGAGGTGCTGCTCAACGCCGGCAACGTCCACTGCATCACGCAGCAGCACGTGCTGGCGGGTGACATTTAGGGCTTGCGAGAGGCAGCTGATTGGTCAATTAGGGTGTTTGTCTTGTCCGCTCCCAATTGAAATTGTGCTGTGAGACCAAATTCTCCTGCTTAACATACGTGACCCGACCCAACAACCATTCCCAATGCTCTTGCTGTCGCTGAAATAGCTGGCAGGCTGTTTTTTTAGCATTGGCACCGGCGTTCAGTGCGCCATCCACCATCCCCAGCCATGAACATGGCAGCATGTGTCTCGCCCTTATGTAACTGTTGAATGCACAATGAAGGACCTGTTGCTGAAAAGTGTTGTGTAGCGATGTTTACACATCCCGGGTGGACCTGACAAGTGGGGAAAACAAGCAGCAGGTGTGGACTGGGTGGCCCTGCATGCCCAGCCCAGCAGGTTCAGGATTCATGCCGCAGCCAGCAAGGAAGTCCAGCCTGACCCTCCGAAACTCCGACCACACAACAAAGTGCACTGCCGCATGACAGCCCCCCCACAAAGCAAAAACCGTCTCACACGTCAACGTTTGGGCCTCGTGGTGCAGGCGCAACGTGGGTGGCGGGCAGGGCGCCCGAATCCTGCTGCTGCTGCTGCTGCTGCTGCTGCTGCTGCTGCTGCTGCTGCTGCTGCTGCTGCTGCTGCTGCTGCTACCAGTTGTCTGCGTTCACGAGTGTTACTGCGCCTGGAATCACTTTCCTGATCCTTTCACTCCTCAACTTTTGTCATGCGCACAGTCCCAGAGTGCGCTCATGCCGGGCGGCTGCACAAACAGAGGCTGCCACCCGTTGCTGCCGGCGCCGGTGCGGCGCTGCTGGCGGGCCTGTGTACACAGCCGTCCGGCAGCGCTCGGGTCAGGCTGATCTGGGATGATCGACAGGCCTGGTCGGCCACCCTGCTCCTTATCCTGCATCCCCTGCGCCGGCTGGTGAGCAAAGCACGACCGGGTGCAAGTGTTGGATCCTGCATGCTTACTTGCCCGGACTGCTCGCATACTTGCTCTGAGTTGGCTTTGTATGTCTCTCAGCCACTCTGCCTGATATCCTCCCTGTTACACAACCTCCCTGTTATACAACCGATGATGCTGGTCGAGACATGCCTCTCTCCGGCGACGCTGCTGCCTGCCGTGAGCTGCCGCAAGCAGCTGCTGCTGGTGCTGGCCAGCGGCCTCATGGTGGCGCGTGCGCTGCTGGTGGCGGAGCTGATGTGGTTCACCGGCACCTGCAGTGGCGCAGTGCTGGCGGTTGGGCAGCTGCTTGTGGTGGCAGCCCATGTGCTGGGGCGGGGCCGACAGCCGCCAGGCGAGGCGGCGGCGGCCGCGGCGGGCGGTCTGGCGGCTGCGCTGGGCCTGGCGCCGAGCGCGCTGCGGGCTGGGCGGGGGTCCATCCTGGCCCGACGGCCTTGCACTGAGCAGCATGCGCAGGGTCAATACGGTGACATGGTATATGCCGCACAGCATTAGCCGTTTGTAGCGGCTCTTGGGTAAAACTGGATCATCCCACGCAGCTGTGACATTACTTTCATGGCAACGCCATTTTTTTCGCTTTGAACCTTGTGTGCTGCTGCTTGGAGTTTTGGGCTGGACTGCCCTGAAGCGTCCGCACAACAAGATTACCAACGCATTATAAGAATCCAACGAATGCCACATTATGACACGCAAATCTGAGTGTGCCATCCCAGACAGCGCTCAAAACAAGTTTGGTCTAGGCTGTTTTTCGAGCCAGCAGGTCTAATTGATCATGGCAAGCGGTGGAGGCAGTGCACTTGCAAACTACAGGAAATTTCCAAGGTAAGCCACCACGCTTCACTTTGAATCACATCAGCATGGCAGCATCCAGGGAATTCAGCAGTTGAAGCACCTTGAGGACCAGCTTGTCGATGTGAGTGCGACCCCCAATGGGGTCTGCGCAGGTAGCGCTACTGTGCCTGCAGCTGCGCAGGCGCCATGCGCACAGTTGCAAGGGATGCACAAACCTTGTATCAACATTATCTGAGCCTCGACGCACGGGAACGCAGTGATACGTTCCAAATGTTCCAAATGTTGCTGAATGACCTCCTGCCTGAAGCCCATGTCGAAGTGCGTTATTTGAGTCACCGGGGTTACCACGGGCCATTCCATCGCTTAAAGAGTTGAAAGCTGCGTAGCTACAATACAACTACACAAGGTAACTTCTATATCACTCGATAAGCTGCCCTCCTGGGACTGGACAGTCTCGTCGCGATCGCTACACGACGCCACTGAACCTGCGCCTTTGATACTATCAGCAACAATGGCGTCCACCATGATGAAGATGAGGACTGCGCCCACCACGGGCTGCCGCGCAGGTTGGTCGGCTGGCAAGCACACTGGGCGGCCGCTGCTGGGCGCGGCACTGCAGGGTCGCACCGGAGTGCGACCCTCTGCGATCCCGCACCCCCACACACGCCCCTTACGATCTGGAACCTCATACCTCCTTCACCATGCCTCGCAGCCACCCCCCGCGTCGCCGCCCCTAAGGCGACCCGCACCCCGGCCACCCTCCGCCGCCCGACCCTCGCGGCGCGCGCCGTCGCGGCCCCTGCGGCCAGCGCCCCCGTCGTGGACACGACCCAGACCCCCGCCGCCCAGGGCTTCACCATGCCCGGTGAGTTTGAGAAGCATGCGGGCTGCTGGATGGGCTGGCCGTACGACAAGTACCTGTGGCGCGAGGACGCCCTGCCCGCCAAGAAGCAGTACGCCGCCGTCGCCAAGGTGGGGCGGGGTGCTGCTAGAGGGTTCTTTTGGGGGGTGGGTCAGGGTGGTCAGCTTGGGTTGATCGACGAGCACTGCCAGGACCTGTGACGACGCCTCTCTTGAGAATAGCGTGTGAGTTTGCAGTCCGTACCTGCTCCATGCACTGGAAATTGCTTTCTGCTCACGCAAGGGTCCCTGCGCGGCGTAGTCTGTTGAAGTTTGTATCCCCCCACTTGGCACCCTGCAACCCAACCCTTTGCATCCCTCACTTCCTGCCTCCCGGTCCCCTCTCCCACCCCCACCCCCTCACCCCAGACCATCTCCCAGTTTGAGCCCGTGACCATGTGGGCCGACCCGTCAGTGGTGGAGGAGGCCAGGGGCTACCTGGCTGACGCGCCCAACGTGAGCGTGGTGGCCATGCCCATCAACGACGGCTGGCTGCGCGACTGGGGGCCCACCTGCATCGCGCGCACCAACCCCGAGACCGGCAAGCGCGAGGTGGCGGGTGTGCACTGGGACTACGACTGCTACGGCGCCCCCGGCAAGATCAGGGGTGAGCGCAGGAGCCAGCTCACCCAGGGGCCAGCCTTCCTGAAGTGTATTTATTATGGGCTAGCTGTGGTGGGACGCTCTGTGGCAATTGCTTGTGCACAGGTGGTTGCTGCAAAATCCTGCAGTCTGGGTAGCGCCCTGTTCTTGAACGCAGCCCTCGCCTGCATAACTTCGCATCGTTTTCATGCTCAGCTGCACCCTCGGCCCTGAAACGCTCAGCCCTCCCTCGACACCCCGCCCTTCACCCTCTCTCCCTCCCCCCAGACGGCCGCCCCGCCATGATGCCCAACTGGGACAAGGACTATGCCGCCGGCCGCGCGGTCCTGGAGCACTACGGCCTGCCCGTCTTCGAGTGCCCCCTGCACCTGGAGGGCGGCTCCATCCACAGCGACGGCCAGGGGTGAGCGGCGCCAGCAGGCAGGGGCGGCCGCCGCCTGGCCATGGCCCTTCTTGCCTGATTGGCACTAAAGGCAGCCTCGTTAGTATGCTGGGAGCCTGTACCTGCCGA